TAGTTTTGAAAGTTGTTTTCCTTCTGAAATATATAATACACTRTTTCTGGTTGAATGTAATTATCCTACCATAGAAGTATAAGAAAGGTGAAATTTGTCTGATTTTACATTTTAAGGAAAGTATTTGTGAATTATTTCTGTTTAAAAAAACAGCAACAAGAATAACTAATCTCTTGAGCAGCTTTTCAAAAAAAAAAGAAGTGATGGATAAATAAATGAYGCTTTGTTGACATCTATTTTGACAATCTCATATACATTGTTCTGCACCCATGTGGCTTCTCTGTAGCTCTTGGATCAACTTTAACTTATTCAGGACACCCCAATCTTACTAAAATATTAATAAAGTTATAGTCTTGTTTTTATTAAAACAAACTAGATATATACACTAATAAGAAACAAATGTTGAAATGAACATAAAATTTAAAGTATAATTGCAATTAAATAATATATGGGTATGAAGATTTGAAGATTCAGAGGTAAAAACTGATACTCACTAACCATTCAACTTTAAATTATTTATACCACATTTGGAATTTGCATAATCACAGCAGCAAGATTATKTTTATAAATTATAGTCCTGAATGGTAAAAATAATAATGTTCAGTTTCATATAATTTATTTAAAAAGTCTTAGGGCATAGGCACCTTGATGRTTCTAAGTCCATTTCTCCATTTTGACAGTTTCCAAGTCAGATTATACTTGTATGATTAAAGTGAAAGTATTCTATTATTCAAAATGCCATATGAAAARCCTCTTAAAACTATTTAATGTGCCTCCTTTCTAATCTATGTTTATGTTTTCTAGCTTCCAGGCCTTGTTCTTAGATTCCTTTAAGCCTCCTTTCCTGACATTTGATCAGTTCACGCCCATTTTTCAAGTCCCTATTCAGTATGCCATTCTTCCAAGAAAACTTCTCTGATGCTATTCTGTCCCAAATATATGAAATGATCACTCTCTGAACTCTTATAATCTCTGTCTGTATTTCCTTTTAAGGTAATATGTCAGTGGTCCCCTTGGCTATGCCCAGGGTCTCTGATTTTCTAGAACTTAGTACTAAACATAATTATACTCTGGCTATGATTTATTACAGTGAAAAGATACAGAGCAAAATTAGTAAAGGGAAAAGACACAAGGCTGAAGCCCAGAGGAACCAGGAAMAAGCTTCCAAAAGTTCATCCCCATAGATCACACAGGAAGTGCGTTATTCCTACAGCCCTGGATTGTCCACCAGGGAAACTCATTAAAGACTCATTGCATAAAGTTTTTATTGAGAACTAGTCYTATAGACTCACTTGCCTAGCATGTTCCAATATTCCAGACTCCCAGAAGGAAAGCACGTGTTTAGGACAAGCCACGCTGTTTGTAATCCAGGCACAGTGAACCATCTCGTGAAATAGGATGGCACTTCGGAAACCCCAGTTCTCAGATGACAGCAAGGGCTAAACTTGACCRTATGTCTTTCAAAGGATGGGAGTCCAGGCCTATTATGATGACGCTTTGTGTACTGGTTGTCACATTAGTTCTACTTTATGAATATGCATAGTACAGGAATCTACCTTACAAACATACATATCTTACAACTTGTCTCAACTATCTCAGGGTAAGCCCATTGAAGGCTGAGTTGGGATTTCTTTCATTATTCCAGCATTCCAGCATAGAATGAGATTGTTGAAAGCAGACACTTGACAAGTATTGATGATTAGAAGATTARCTCATTTAGGAAGGAACTTCAAGAATAGGCAGGAAAGTAAACCTAACAGTATGGGCAGGAGTCTTGTCCTCCTGTTCTGGGTGGATCTCTCTATATTTTCTGTAATTTTTCTGAATTAATGGCCACAGGATAGCACATATTAGATAAAAGATAAGAGAGCTACCAATTTTAAGTAAGACTAATGCTGGTATTAGAGATGTTATTAATATTAAAMATAAGTACATTTTAAAAGAATCAGCAATATATAGTATCCACTCTTTAATTTATTCTGATTCAACTATAAAAAACCAGGTATATATATTGTAGACCATGTTTAAAGTCACTTTCTTATAAAGAGACTTATTGGGCACTTATTTAATGTTCTCAGTGAGTTATAAATATTAAGAACAGGGTAATTATAAGAGCTAATACTTATGCCATGCCAAACAATGTTCTAAGCACCACTCCGAGAGTTAGATACAGTGACATATTCTACCTTAGAGATAAGGTTATGAAAGAAGTTTAATCACCTTTTGAAGCAGTGCCTCTGATATCAATCTTCTTAAATGCTACCCTTTACTGATTCTCACACCCCTGAAAAGCTCAGGTGTGCATACTATCTCTCTTCATTTTTTTTTTACAATATTAAAGAAAGAATCTTTGCTCTGCTTTCAATGTTTTCTTTGCCAACATTTTAAAAATTAAAGAACCCAAATATCCCTAGATTTTTGCCATCCAATTCTTGGTAGACTCTATGGTCTTAACGAAGAATTTGTCACTATCAATAATGCATAAAACATAATGAAGATTTAACAATGCATTTATCATTTGTGATTATCATTCTGCACATAAATAAACAGAAAGTTATACCAGCATAGAAAAAATAAACCTATATACACTGGAATCTATTTATCCCTACCAGTATTAGGTAGTTGAGTTTTGATACAATGAAGTGACTGTTTAAGAATAAAGCTTTTTATTCCCTTCTGAATAGGAAGCATTTATATTTGAACCAAAAAGAAAAAAAAAAGAACTCAGAGAAGAGAAATTACACTTGGGATTTATTTTATTTTCTTAAAGAATTAATCAGAAGCCTAAAAGTTATAAACAAGCTACATTCTGTTAGATGCAAACAGCAGTTTAGAAAGAAGATATTTTTGCTCCTAGATCCAGAATATTTGGTGTGACAAAGGAGTTGTCAGTAATGTYGACAAGTGTCTAAGTTGTTACCTCTTCAGCATTCTTATTGAAGTTGAGAAAGATGACTATTCTGTGGCTGTGGGCAAAGCTCTTCACTATGAAACTAGGATGACAGGCATTTGAAAGGCATTGTGTTAATTTACAACAACTGAAGCAAACCTCCTTCAGGTGACTTACTTTATCATCCATGTCATAGAGGAGGCAGCTGTGTCTTGGGGAGGTTAAGGGAATGTCTCAGGGTCATGCAAATAGAAAGTGGCAGAGCAGAGACTTGAACTCAACTAAATTTGTACTCAACCAAAGGCCACATTGACTGTGAAATATCAGAAGGGACCCAAATTTTAATGCAATTAGAAATGTTCAGTCCTGTATTAACTTTCCAATACTATCACAAATAGTTGAGATAATCAACATAAGGTTTACTTTGGGCTCACAGTTCTAGAAATTCCAGACCATGATTAGGATAGCCTGTTGCTTTTAGGTCATGTCATGTATAAAGAGTGGATGGTGTTTTGATTTGCATTCTCTAAATGCTAGTGATGTTGAACATTTTTTAATATATTTTTTGACCACTCCTATTTCTTTTTCTGTGAAGTGCTTGTTCAGTTCCTTAGGTCATTTATTGATTGGATGATGATGATGATGATGATGATTATGATGATTCTTTGGTGTTAAATTTTGTGAATTCTTTCTATATCCTGGAGATTAATGATCTGAGGTGCTGGTGGTAAAGATATTCTCTGTTCATATTCTTGATTGTTTCCTTTACTGTGAAGAAGCTTTTTGGTTTGATACCATCCCATTTATTGATTCTTGATTTTACTTCTTGCCAAGCTATGGAACAAACCTAGGTGCCCTACAACAGATGAATGGATAAAGAAAATGTGGTACATATACACAGTGAAATATTACTTAGCCATTAAGAAGAATTAAATTATGGCATTTACCAGTAAATGGATGGAGCTGAAGATTATCATGTAAGTGAAATAAGCCAATCCCAAAACACCAAAGGCAGAATGTTCTCTCTGATATGTGGATGCCCATCCCAACAAGAGAGGCAAGATTAGAAGTTCAATGGACTAGACGAAAGAGAATGAAAGAAAGGGATGGGGGTGGGAATGGAAAAGACACTATAATGTATTGGACATATCTTTCCTATCCTTATATATAAACACACAACCAATGTAATTCCACAATATATACAACCACAATAATGGGATCYTAATTGGAACAAGTTATATTTATTCTGTGTATGTATACTATGTCAAAATATACTCACTGTCATGTATATCTAGAAAGAACAAWTTTTTTTWAAAAAAGAGAAAAACTGGAAAACAAAAACAAAAAAACACAAAAGAGTGGGTGATAAAGCAAAACCATTCCCCTCATGTCCAGAGAACAAAAGAGGGCAAGGAAAGGAAGGGAAGGTACTCAAGGGCATTCCTCTTAAAGACCGAAAGACCTCCCACCAAGCCCCTCTTCCTAAAGGTGTAACTCCACAACATGCACAATCACAAAAATGGGAAGTTACACTCCATGCATGTATGATATGTCAAAATACATTCTACTGCCATGTATAATTAAAAAGAACAAAAAAATTTAAAAAGGGTTCCATTACCACCCAACATTATCTCTTTGGGAACCAAGCCACAAACATTTAGGCTTTGGAGGGACATTTGCTATCCCAAGTATAGCAAGTCTGAAGCACTGACATACAATTCTCTATAGGTTAAATTACAGCAGGATTGAGCCCAAATTCCTGAGAAATTAAATTTTGGGGAATTGTACTATTATTAATGATACAGTTTTAATTCAGGTGTGCAGTCGCTCTGTGGTGTTTGAAACAAGAGAAAAAAAAAAGAAAATATTTTGTACCTCAACTCTGAAGGCAGCAAATTATCTCTTGGACACAGCATTAAAGAGAGCAAAGAGTAGTTTAACTAATTATGTTGTATTAAATCATTACTTTTTCACAATAAAAGCTTGAAACTGTTAAGCCACATTATATGTATTCCTCCCAGGTAACAATATAGGTTAAATATTATAAATATTTATTAACTTCATGCAATGGAGACATCAATAAACAAGAACATGAATAGATTTCACCTACTTTTGAAATGTTACTTGATCGACTGGCAGATCGTCCTGGGGATTTGTCATTCTGAAAAATAAAATTAGAAACATTGATTAAAGAGGAGTGTGGCAATACTCTATCACTGAGAAGAAAAGGCACAGCTTGGGGTATTCATGTGACTGTTCTCAGTAGTGTTCCAACTGACTGAGGGAAATATTAATTGCTTACACAGGATGACTTTTCTCATCAAATTTTATCTCTCCAATATAGAGCAGTGTAGTTTTAAAAATATCCCAGTGAACATCTGAGCACTTATCAAGCTAGAAATATTTATTTCCAGGAAGTGATTATATTATTTCTCCAGAAAGATTTGTGCAATTTCTTTGAAAATAAAATTAGACAACGATAACATAGTCCTCTATTTCCCCTTCTGCTTTTGCAACCAGGAAATTCTGAGTAAATTCTGACTCTCAGTGCCAGTAAATTCTCAATGCCAGAGGCATGGTAGAGACACCTAGCTTGTGCTCTTCAAAAGTAGATTTGATTGGTCTTTGCTGTTATTTTACACACTTAAAAAATTTAAAATATTTGCTTTTTTAAGTTAAAATGTTTTCTAAATTGTAAGTTCTAAAATTTAAAACCAAAAAAAAAAAATGTTTAAAACTTTCAAAGCCAGTTCTTTTAAAGAATTTCCAGTTGGGATGCAAAGTAGTATGAAAAATGATTTCGAATAAAATATTTTTAAAAGTCATGCAATTTTAAAATGGAAAGAGACCTTAAGGACAAGACCCCTCTCATTGGAAGGCCAGAGACATTCCACTTCCAGCAATCAGAGATCTAGTGCAAGCCAGACCAGCCCTGAGGCCTTTGGACTGGTCCAGTCTGTTTATGCTTTATACTCTGCCAATTATCTGTAAGTGGATAATCAACTGGAAAAATCAGTTTATGGGCATTATGCATTTTACATGTAGAATGAGGTCACAGTATACCTCTCCTGTAGAGAAAATGTTGGAAAAATCAGTTCAGGAAACCTAAAATTTGTGAAGGATGTGAATCAACATTGTCATTGAAATATTCTTGTCACAGTAAATTTTTTTTTTTAACTTCTAGACTCAACCTCAAAGCAGACCTGAGTAGACTACAGCAGTGTTTCTTGACAGAGGTCATTTCTGAGGGCTGAGGGTCACAAAAAYCCGTGGGGCTGAAATTGCCCCATGATGACTACTTGAGACTGTTTCAGAAATATGGTGCTGATGGGAAATGGCAGATGTGTCAAAGTGAAAAAATAGCAGCTACACTCACTGCAGGCTGTGACTGAGTCATGCATAGGCTTACAGAGATTCTCGCTGAACAGTCCTGTTTTCTTTATATGAAACATCATACAACCATGGATATCACCTTGGAGTTGTTATGTTATTACAGACCGAGATGAGTCACCGTACCATCAGCCACTCCTCATAACAACCCTGGGATCCAACTGARGATGGATGTACCTGCTACCCACAGACCTCCCCTGATTAGCTTCTGCTGGGATGGGGAGGGACATTTTTTCTATGGACATCAAAACTCCTCTTCTGGAGATTAGTTAACAAAGTCAACCCATCTTTTCAGGATTTTGACACATTATTGTGTAGAACAGAGGTATATAAGCCACAGAATACAATAGGCTTTGGGGGTAGACTTGTGGTRGTTGCTATGTTTTCTGTATGTACATGGTATTTGAGGATGTGAAGAAGAAACAAGAATTGGAAGTATTGCTGCAAGAACTAAGAAGAAAAACAKGAAACTTGTTTGGTATTAGATTACTTAATTTTTCAAATCAAACAGAACTTTGTGCTATTTTGAGAGAAAACAAGGAGGGTCAGATTCTCTTTGCAGTTGTCAGTGAATYCATCATAGGATTATAATAAACAGGTACTATCTATTCTCTTCATTGGCATCACTATCACTGTTGGTTACTAGAGTCACAATTTCCTTTCCTTTTATTTCTCTCTTTTATTTTTATTTTTTTTGCGGTAATGGGGATTCAGCCCAGGACCACAAGCATACTAGGCCAGCACTCTACCACTGAGCCACATGCCCAAACCTAAAGTCACAATTTTCAGGTAAACATCTTAATTCCTTTGTCTTGCAATTCTGCCTCCACTATGATTAAATTCTGGGCATATGAAATTTAAGGATGAAAGTTCAAAATTTTTTATASACAAGGATATTAAGGAAGTTGATCAGCCTTGTTTTTGAAGGAAAGCATCTAGCGCTTTCTCTCTTGGAAACCTTCCAAGGCGATCTGTCCAATTTGCTGCTAATTAATTGGGTGGCTTGTCCCATTACGGCTGCAATGACATATTCCTTTTTGTAGATTAGTCAATATGGTTGTCATACCTCATTATGATCAGTTTAAATACTTTACCTTAGATTAAATATAAGCTGTCTCARAGTCTAACAAATCTTACTGCAACCCAAATTATAGTGACTTTGGAGGTCAATAACCAACAAGAGTTTCTGTCAGGTCTGCATTAAAAGTGCGGAATTTTGAGGCAGTAATGTTGGATCATAGCATGTCAGTCACAGCACACAGAGAGACGTAGTTTCATAATTATTTTTAAAACAATGTTGGACTTTTAGCATATCATTCAGAGCATGCAGAGAGAGGCTCATAATTTCACAAGAATATTTTTATATCTTTAAGAGGTTTCGAACTTTTTCATTTGATATATTATTTGCTTTATTTTATGGTTATTGTTATTGCTTTCAAATTTGATCTTCGTAAACAGAGTTGGATGTTTATTATCAACAAGGAAGAGAGATTAGCAAATGAGAAAATCAATACCAAATCTTATTTTAATGTATTTTTAATGTTATCCTCTAAATGATGTAGTTCCTTTAAAGTGGAATGGTCTATGTTAAAGAATGTGCAATATGGTTGGTCATGTATATATCTCTCTACACATGAATTCTTTGTATACTATCTTGTTTTTCCAAAGAAGGTAGTAAGAAAACTCAAGTTTTTTTAATRTAAATTGAAGAAGACACTAAATATTCCTGCACGAAGAGATCAATTTGAGATATCCTCATTAAATCACTGAAATGATGCTATTCTGTAGGGTTCTTCCCCATACTCCCAGGCTAAAAACTGAGTATTTGAAAAGAGGAAAAATTATGGTAATTTGGAGAGTTATCTGAAKAATTTTTTTTTTGCTGGGGGTGGTAATTAAAGCTTGGAATAGAAGAAACTATTTAAAAACTGTGACTTAAAAACAAAAAATAAGGGCAGTGAAATTGGATAATGTAATAAAATTTGATTAACATATATAAAAAACCCTCATGTTCATCGAATGAAAAGCATGTCTATGAAACATTTAAAAATATTTTTCTTCAGAAATTCTTTAACAAAATTTTCAAGCCAATTATTAGAATTGCAATTTTGAGAGGTGATAAATCAATCAATTGAAAATTAATTAGACTTTTTTATAATGTTTGGTTTAAAGGAATGAAAACTCTCTGGAATATAGCCAGGAACTTTAAAAAACATCATACTAAAAACTATGGAAGCTGGCACTACGTGGCACAACTGTAATCCCAGAGGTTTGGGAGGCTGAGAAAGAAGGATAGCAAGTTCAAAGCCAGCCTCAGCAACTTTGTAAGGCCCAAGGCTCTAAACAACTTGGGAAGACCCTGTCTCTAAATTAAAAGTAAAAAAAAAAGTGCAAGGGATGTGACTCAGTGGTTAAGTGCCCCTGGGTTCAATCCCTGCTACCAAATAAATAAATAAATAAAACATCTGGGAACAATGCATGTTGTATCCAGATTAAAATTTATAACTATAAATGATTTCATTTTTAGAGAACATAGTAAAATAAAATGTAATGAAAATAAGATAATAAAATATAAAATCTTTTATTAAGTGCATTGAATTGACAAGTAGAAAAAGACTTTCTTAAAGGAAGCACATTGAAAATAACTGCAAAATAGATGAACGTCCCATAAGACTTATTAAAAGAAACAGCAAAAATATGTAAGAAAACAAGAAAAAAGAGAAACAAATCATAGACACAAAAAGATTAGAAAATAATAGAAGACTGTTACCTGTAACACTATTATAACAAATTTAAAAATCTAGGGGAAATAAATGCCATTCTAACATAATAAGAGTTTCTAGAATTTGTTCAAGAACAAGAAGATAGAAACTTGAGAAAATAAACGAAGAAAAGACTGAAAAAGGAAATGAAAGTCTTTATGCACCTATGCAGGGTAAGGTCATGGTGATCTCATGACATGTTTTTCTTACTATTCAGAACACATAATTCCAATATTATTTATATTATTCTTTTAATAGAAGCATAAGTTTCCCTAATTCATTAATCTTGTGTAAATGAAACTTTAAATATTTAAAGAGAAAAGACAATTGTCCTTTGGTTTAATTTTGGAATAAAGATGCAAATTTTTTTTGAAAATATTAGCCTGTATCTAAAGATCACTATATATCTTTGATATAACAGTAGTGTATATCATAATCCCACAGAATAAAATAAATAAAATGTATTCCAGTATTTCCTTATGAAATCTGTCAACATAATTCATCAGATTAATACATTGAAAGAGACAAATGTAGTTTGTAAATAAATGCTGAAAAGATACTTGACAAAATTTATAGGTCTTATTCTAATAAAAGTCCTAAGTAAAACAAGAAATGACAGAAACCCCATAAAGTGATAAAGATGATATTTTAAAACTGAATACAAAATATTATTCTAAATGGTAAAATACCGGACCTATACACATTAAAGTAGTTATATCAGGGACATTTGCTCTTGCTATTATTATTCAACTTGTTGGAGTTTCTTGCAAATACAATAATGACAAAATTAAATATTTAATAATAAATATATGGAAAAAGAAGTGAAAAAAAAATCTCAAGCATCTCTAGTTAAAGAAAACTACTACAGTTAATGAAATTTCAGTATGGGGGTTAGATTCAGGATAACTGCACCATGGCAGAGCCTACTAGGTTTCCTGAGATGCATTCACCCCTTCTTCTGTATGAACAGAACAGTAACTGGATATAAATTTTCTGAGTGGCATTCTCT